AGGCTGAAATCCTTGCAGGAAGATTGCCAGGTCTTTCTTCCGCTGAACTGCTGGGTGAGTTTGAACAGACCTTTTGGTGAGCAGCTGAGTGCTTAACCATTGTACTACCGAGGTTCTTTGGTGGTAGTGGTGGTGATGTGTCATAGAGTTGGTTCTGACTCATAGAGATCCTGTATAGAGTTTCTGAGACAGTAAATGTGTACAAGAGCAGAAAGCATCATCTTTCTCCTGCAGAACAGCTGGTAGTTTCAAACTGCTGATTTTGAGATTGACAGTACAACTCTTAACCACTATGCTGTTATCAAACTCTTTAGTGTGCAAGACAAGTGGTCTAAACAAGCTTTTTAAAATTTTAATGAAGAGTAGAATAGAAAATGGCAGGACGCGCCCCACATAGAAAAAATAAGTATTATTTGATGAAACTTTTGTTTCAGATATGTGTGTGTGTGTGTGTGTGTGGTTGGCACTGTAGGATAAACACTAGACTGCCAACCACAAGATTGGCAGTTCAAACCCACCAGCTGCTCCTTGGAAACCCTGTCTGTACAGGCTCATTATGACTCAGAACCAACTGAACCGCACATAAAACAACAACAATATAAATGTCTACATCTGTAGGTGTCTGTGTGAATGAACTGGATCACACTGAGGTATGGTAAAAAAAATAATAAATGAAAGCTTGAAAGAACATAGGCCTAGAAAGCTCAATTGGCTCCAAAGTCAAGCAGCACGGTCCCAAGGGAGATAGGCTAAAACCTGTCTACACGATGTCCCTTCTCAAAGGCCGGGAGCACTAATCCCATCCTCTTTTTACAGATGAAGAAATTTAAACTAGAAACCAAATCAAACCCACTGCCATCAAGGCAATTCTGACTCCTGACAACCTCTGGTCTTACCGAGGTGGAACTGCTCCCTAAGGTTTTCTTAGTTGTGACCTTTATAGAAGCTGATCAGCAGGCCTTTCTTCCAACGCTCTACAGGGTGGATGTCAAATGTAAACTGTTTGCCACACCCAACGTCCACTCTCCTTGACCTTTTTTTTCCCCCTTTCTCACACTGCCTGCAGTTTATTCCAACTTATGGGGACCCCATGATAGTCCCCTTTTTGAATGCCAGTCTATGCTTAGCACTTAACATCCATGTTCCCATTGGAGACTCAACATCAGGCGGGTTACCAAAACCTTTAAGATCTGTGGCCATCAAGTGGGTCCTATAATAGGATATCCAAGGTTGCAATCGCTACAGAAGCAGACAGCCACATCTTTTTCTTGCCACATCTTTCTCCGGCTGCGCAGCTGGTAGGTATGAACCATCCACCTTTCGCTTAGCAGCGGACCTTACCCACTGCCTACCACGTGGGAGCTACCCATATCCCCATTTTTCTCACGGGGATTCTCAGGAGCCTGGACTCCAAACCCACCTTCCGGTCCAGGGCTCTGGTCTGTTTCTGTAGCTCATCCACCTCAGCCTGCACCTGAGCTCTGCATTTGAGCAGGTGACCCATGCGCTCCAGCCGTTGGCTGTCCCGCAGCCTCTTGACCTGGCTCTGGGCGACGCTGATCTGCATCCGCAGGTTGGCCCGCAACTCCTCCAAGCGCCGGATCTCCTCCCTGCCCGAAGGGGGTGGGGCGCGGCAAGGTGCTCAGCAATGCTCAGACCCGAGGCCCCCTTCATACCCCCCGCAAACGCGGGACCCAGGCACCGGGCTTACAGTTGTTTGTTGATGCGCTGGCGAACTTCTTTGCTGTAGGCCCGCCTTTCGCTTTCCATCACTTTGCACTGTCGCTGCAGGCGGCTTAGCTCCCAGTCCACTGAGGGTGGAGCCGTGCAAGGGAGTCAATCGGAATCTGGCCCCTCTTCCCCACGTCCCAGATACACTACACTTACTGGTATTGTTAAGTGCTGTGGAGTACGGCTGTTAGCTTTGAACTACCAACCTTGTGGTTAGCAGTACAGTGCTGATCCTACAGCACCACACCAGGACTTCCTACTAGAGTCGCACATACGGGTACTACAGACGTAGCCCACTAGGTTGCAACTGTATCTCACTTCGTGAGTGCCTCCAGCTTCTCTGCCCCTTGAGACTCTTGGGATTCCAAGCTGAGCTCAGGTTCTTTTCCTTAAACTCCCTGCAGCTTGGAGTTTGGACACATGACTTTGGTCCAATAGAGGGCGCTCCTGGGAGGCCGCTCTCGCCCGGTAGCAACCGCATCACAGACCTAAACTTGGGGAGCGGCAGGAAACATATTCCCAAACCCTCAGGCACCGTCTTCGCTTCTTCCTTCCCTATCACCCTCCTCCTCTGGCCTCCTCATTCTTATCTTTATAGGGCTGAACCATCACCTCAGCCTCCTCTCCACCTCCCCTTCCTCCCCTCACAGCTCCAGAGGGTCTTTCTACACCTACAGCAAACCCTACCCGCCCCCGCCTACTCACAGCTCTCCCGTGGTTCCCCAGCACAAAGTCCCAGCTAACTCGGCGTTCAAGGCTCCACAAGATCTGACTATCTACATCTGCAACCCCATGGTCCCAATTCTGTGCCTGCTGCTAACATTTGGTATTGTCAAGACTGGGGGCGGAGAGGCGAGTGCTAACTGAGATCTAATGCACAGAGACCAATGATGTTGCTAAACATCCAAAAGAGCAAAGCCCGTTGTGCTGTCTGGTGGATCCCGACTCACAGTGACCCCTATATACGGCTGAGTAGAACTGCCTCCCACAGGGTTTCCAAGGCTGTAATTCTTTAAGAAAACTGAATGCTTCATCTTTCTCCCGCAGAGCGGCTGGTGGGTTTAAACTACTGACCATTCTGTCACCAGCCGAAGGCTTAGCCACTGCATCACCAAGTCTCCTAAGCACAGGGCAGCAGCCCTCCACAATGAAAATGAGTGGACCCCCTGGTTGAGAACTATGCTGTGAAACCCCTTCCCCTTCCTGCTCCCACTGGTGATTCCTGCGAGGTCTTCTGGGCTCCACTCAAATTTGTCCATCCCGCAAGATTTCCCAGCCTACGCCACTCTGCAGGCTGGACTTATTCCATTAAGGGCGACTCTGCTGTCTGTCAGGGGGGCGCTCCTGTGCCCAAGGTCTGGGAAAGGCGCAGAAGGGTAAAGAACGAGTGAATGAAAAAGGAAGCCTGCGTTACCCATTCCTTCCAGGCAGGCGTCGCTTTCCTCTGAGCGGGTGCTCACAGCCGAGTGTCCCAAGGGCATCTTGGCCACAGAGGGAGGGGCTCCTGTGGGGCCGACAGAGCATCCGTTTAGAAAGCAGGCTGGCTGGGCCGGAAGATGGGGGCGAGGGTGCTGGGAATGGGGAGGGGAGGATACCCCTCCCGTCTCAACCCCGCATATTGCATATTTTGCTTCTACATCCCAGCTCCGAGCCTGGTGCAGGGAACAGGATGATCTCGGGGTGTTCAACAAGGGAAGTATTGCAAAGGAGGGTGACCCCGGCCAACTGTGGGGGACCAGGCCCGGGCCCTACCTGCCCGGGTGCCTGACTAATCCTGGGTGCTCCGAGCTCACTGTTGTGATCTGGTTACTAGGGAGATGAGAGACCAATGAGGCCTGGTGACAGAGGCCAGGGAGGGACCGTAGCCTCGGGGGAGAGGCTGAGAACAGGGGGCGGAGGTAGCTGAGAGGGGAAGGCCTGCGGGGGCACTGGGAGACTCTGAAGATGGGCGGGGAAACTCTGGAAGGGAAGGGACTAGGAGGGAGAAGAGGGGCGGGGCTATGAGGTCCTCGAGGGGCGTGGTTCGGATGGTCTGTGCGGGGCGTGGCTAGGTGTGTCTGAGGGGCGTGGTTGGGCGGGTCTGTGGCTGTGGTGGGCGGGGCTCATCTGGCAGGGCTCAGGTTCCGAGGGTTTGCGGTAAATTCGGGATGGTCTGCCTCCTGAACATAGGACTGTGAGAGGCGGGTCATGTGTGTTTCCGAGAGACACAGATTTGGGAAGAAAACATCTGGAAGGCGCTGGTAGGGCCTTGAAGTTAGATCGAGTTCTTTCGGGATAGGGTCCAAGAGTGCCATCGAGTCGGTTCCGACTAATAACGACCCTGTGTAGGGTTTCCTAGGAGAGGCTGGTGATCTTGAACCACCACCTCACAGTTCAAATCGACCTTGCAGTCCAGCGCATTGACCTGCAGCGACACCCCAGGTTATGGTTAAGACTCGGAGTCCTGGTGAAGCTTTAATGCGCTGAACTACAAGGTCGGTTTGAACTGCGAGGTCGGCGGTTCAAGCTCACCAGGCGCTCCTCGCAAACCCTATTTTAGGGCTGCTATGAGTCGGAACCGATTCGATGGCACTTAACAACAACATTAGCAGGGAGTTGTGGAGGGGAGGACGCTTACCACTGCCTCAGATCCTAGCAGCGGCTCACAACGCATGCGCGCTCAACGGCCTCCAGCGAACCCGCCAAAAACCCTGGGCAGCTTCAGTCTCTCAATGAGACGCGAAAATGGGCGGGGTCTCGGGCGCTCCGTGCCGCCTCCACTTTCTAACCACGCCCCCTGTCTGGTCGCACCCCCTCGCTTCACTGGGCAGCTTCGCGTGCCTCTGCTATGAGCCGCTGCCCACGTGGGCCTCCCGGGGCGTGCTAGCAGTGGGCGCCGCTCCCTGCAGGCTGGGTGTGCCCGACGCCTGCGGTTTCCTGTGGGAGGAAGCGGCTCCCTAGCGCTCAGCTTCGTTTGGAGGCTCTGAGGCCTAGGAGGGGGAGATCCTGCCACTGCCCTCAGCCCCATTCTCTCTGTTCCACAGAGGTCTGTCAAGACCCCTAATATCCCCTGGGAACCCGTCTGGAGCTGATTCCACTCAGGGAATTTGATTCGGCCCCAAGCCTGCTAGTCTCCATTCCCAGCTCAAGTTTCCATCTTCGTCTCGTCCCTGGCTCTCCTATTGTTCCTAGGATCCAGGATCAGTCCCTCCACTTTCCTGCCCATGAAGGGTACATGATCCTCTAGCCCCTATTTTTCCTTCAGTTATCCAGATCTTCCCACCACCACCTTGATGATCTGATCGAGCTCAAAGCCCCAGTCTCTATCCTTATCAGGAGTAAGTTTGGGGCCATGGAGTCCTGGTGTGGCGCTGTGAGTTAATGCAGTGGACTGCAAGATCATTTTGAACCACCATAAGGTTGGAGGTTCAAGCTCACAAGCTGCTCCTCAGAAATCCTATACAAGGTTGCTATAGGTCAGAACCAACTCAATGGCACTTAATGACAACATCCTCCATCTCCAAGGACTCACCCATCTGCCCAAGAATTGTCCTTTCCCCAAGCCCTTTGACCTTGGGTCTCTCAGTACTGGATTCACTTAGAATCCCAGATGTCATAGCAAATGCATACCATGCTTACTGCATGCCAAAGTACCATTCTAAGATGTAGACACTATCTTTATTTACTATCTTTATCTTATTTCACAGATGAGGAAACTGAAGCATAGAGAGATTATTAGTAACCTGTCCAAAATTCTGCCAGTCTGGACACACTGAGTCTCTCAGAGCCACTCAAGTGGATAAAATGCCCAACCTCCAACCCCAACTCCCAGGTAGCCCAGATGACCAACAAAGCTTTCCTTCCTAGCTCCAGGTCCCTTTAGACACCCAGACACCTGATCATGCAGGTCCCTAGGATTCAACTCCCCAGCTCGCAATCCCACATCAGGACCTTAGACCCCTGGTCCTCCGTCCCTCACTATTCACAGTAGAAATGTCCCCAGCACCCAACCTTTCCAAAAGACCTGGGTATCTAGTCAGCTTCCTCCCATTCTAAATGAATAACCAAAGACTTATGCATTATGTTTATTAATATGAAGTCCCTAGCACTACATGGATCCTATATCATTTGTTTAAAAGTCATAACAAAAATAAGTAAATAAGTGCTACCCCACAGCACTGAGAATAAAATCAAAACTCCTCCCATAGCCTTCAAGAACCTTTGATTTCCCTTCCCACCACTCCCTCTGTCTCCCAGGGCCTCAGCCACACTAGCCTTCTGTCTGTCTGTTCCCCTAACAGCTCCAGCTTGTTCTCTTAGGAGCCTTTGCATTAGCTGTTTCCTCTTTCCTCCAACATTCAAATGATTCTTGTTTTCAGGTCTCAGCTCAAACGTCACCTTCTCAGAGAAACATCCCCTGATCACCCTGCTTCAAGCAACCTTCCACTCCCCGCACAAATCTTCATCACTCTTATTTCATTTCCTGCCAATGGACTTATCACGATCTGAAATGCATTCTGTCCTTTGATATGTTTTCATTTTATTATCTGTCTCCCTCTCCTAGAAGGTGAACTCCACAATAACATTATAATCCACTCTGGTTACTGGTCACAGTAGATGTGCAATAAAAGTTTCTTGGAAGAAGGAAGGAAGGGGTTAGATGTGTTTGCTGTTAGGTGTCATTGCCCCCATGTACAACAGAATGAAAACACTGCCTGGTGCTGTGTTTGAGTCCATTGTTACAACCACTGTGTCAATCCATTTCCTTGAGGGTCTTCCTCTTTCAGTGACCCTCTACTTTACCAACATAGCATCCTTCTCCAGGGACTGGTTTCTTCTGTTAACACCTCCTCCAAAGTAAGTGAGAAGTCTCGCTATCCTGGCTTCTAAGTAAGTGAGAAGTCTCCTCCAAAGTAAGTGAGAAGTCTCGCTATCCTGGCTTCTAAGGAATATTCTGGCTGTACTTCTTCCAACACAGACTTATTTGCTATTCTGGCAGTCCATGGCATATTTAATATTCTGCAGTAGTGTACCTGGAAGCATAGTGGTTACGAATCGAGCTGCTAACCTCAACGTCGGCACTGTTCCACGGGAGAGAGCTGAGGCTTTCTGCTCCCGTAAAGATTTACAGCCTCGGAAACCCTGTACAGGGTCGCTATGAGTTGGAACTGACGCCACCGTACTTAACAACAACAAGTGGTGTTCCATTATGGCTTTATTCAATCCTCAGACCAATGTCAGAATTATTATTAGTATAATAATTATTGCCCAGTTTTATCATTAATATAATCATTTCACAGATTAGGTAAGTGAGGCTCTCATAGAGGTGAAATCATTGGTTTGAGGTCACCCAGCTGGGAAATTCATGGCGCTGGGCTTCCTATCTTCCAACTCCATTTCTTCTTTGCTGAGACTGATACTCTATTTCCCATTGCTTCACACACATATTCCCAACCAATGGTCCCTGAGTGGTGCAAACGATTTGTGTCTGACTACTAACCCAGTAGTAAAACGGAGCTCTGGTAGTGTAGTGGTTACGAATCGGGCTGTGAACCCGCAAGGTCAGCAGTTCGAAACTACCAGTTGTTCAGCGGGAGAAAGATGAGGCTTTCTGCTCCCGTAACGATTTACAGCCTCGGAAACCCTGTACGGGGTCGCTATGAGTTGGAACCGACTCCACAGCACATAACAACAACTAACCTAAAAGTTGGTGATTCTAATCCACTCAGCGGCACTGAGGAAGAAAGGCCTGACCATATGCTTCCAAAAACATGAATGAAAAACCCATTGCCTTTTAATCAAGATGACTCTGTAGCAGAATAAAACTAAGGCCCCACAGGGTCTCCAACACTGTAAATCTTAAAGGAAACAGACCTCCCTCCCTCCTTTGGTGGATTTGAGCGACCAACCTTGCAGTTAGCAGCGGAGTGCTTAGCCACTGCGTCACCAGAGTTCCTTCCTTACATCCTATCAAGTAGTTCCACATGAGTAGGAATTGACTCTACAGGCAAAAGGTTTGATTTAGGTTTGATCATCCCCCCTCCTCAACTCCACCAGACCACAGCCCACTCCAAGCCTCAGGTCTCCTCTCCTAAACCCTGTTCATTCTGAGTGTCCAGTCCTACGTTCCATCAAACAGCAGACATGCAATCCCAAACCCAGACCCGGAAGGCTGACCATTAGCTCCCCCAAACCTGTCCCACCCCAAAATGGGAAGGATTCTCATCTCTACAGGGAAAGGTTTAGTCCCGAAGATGCCTATCTGGGGGCAGAAAGCGGGGGCGGGAGAAGGAAGAACGTGGGAGTCTGGTCCCTCCCTCTGACTGGGACCTCAGCTGGGTGCGGCTCAGTGAGTATAAAAGGGTCAGTATATATTGAGAAGAGTAGAGAAAAGCGAAGACCGGAGAGTGTGAGAAGCGAGCGAGGAGGAGGGACAGGAGAAAGTGAGAGGAGAGGCTGGAAAGAGGAGGAGAAAGAGCGAGGAGCAAGGATTCCAGGACTGGAAGGGAGAAGGAGGGGTGAGCCAGAGGGGAGAAGGAGCAGGGAGGGCCAGAGGCGGGCCGCGAAAGAGGCGGGGGCCTGCACAGGGTGGAAGGAGGGAGGCGAAGGGCGGGGCACGGAGGCCCAAGCGAGGAACCAGACTCTGACTTTTTCGGCGGCTCTCGGTAAGTTTCCAATCCGTTATTCGCGTTGGGATTTCTTTCTTGACCTAGGCCGTTTAGCAGTTTCGGAAGGGCACCCTCAGACCCCGCTGTAATGAAATCCTTGGAATTTCAGAAACGATCTCTTATAGCAATTAGGGCATGGATTTGGGAAGAGGCGGGGACCAGCCTGGCAGGCTTTTGAAAGTACCAGGAGCGCCCCCACCAAAAACTAACTTTCTGCAGGTATTTCCATACCCCTCTCTGTAGGTCTTCACTCTCCGCTGAAGGCTGTGTGTGAGAGCACCCAAGTCCGGGCAACCTCTGGACTGCCCAGTTTCTGGACACTGAGGGGTTGCCGGAGGATGGCTCCTTTTTGGGCCTCCTACCCCCAAAATCTTGCTCTCCACCCATTATCCCCACAAAGACCCAGGTGCCCAGCAGGCTCCAGACTGGCAGCTGGGACCAGGCAGTGGGCATAGCTAGGGACTGGGGTTTCCCTTGTGTTTCCGAAGGGGGGGAAGGAGCATGAGTCACCCGATGAGTCACCGGGTCCCCCTCCACCCCACCCAACCCCCTTCCCAGGAGAGGAGTAGGATGAGTCAAGATGCAGAACCCTCTGGGGACATCTCCTAGCTCCTGATAAATCTGAAAGGTGTCAACTTGAATTTTCATATCCTGGCCCCTATGTGCTTAGTGACACGTCTCTGAAGAGAGAGGGGTCACATGCTTAGCCCTACTCCATATGGGACTCCAAGAGTAGATCCCATCTTAAGCCCCTAGAGAACCACAGAGTTCAACCCTTCAGTCCCCACTTCCCTCAGATCCAGCAGTTCTGCCCCTAGCTCCTCCTTCAGACACAACAGTCTGAGAGCCCCCCAGCCCCTCCTCCCTAAGACCCAGGAATCCAGGCCCCCAGTTTCCTCATCCCTCAGATTCAGGGGTCCTTATCCCCATTCCCCTCCTTCCTTAAACCAAGGAGTCCAGGCTCCCAGCCGTCTCCTCCCCTCACACTCAGGATTCCAGGCCTCAGCCCCCTCCTCCCTCAGACCCAGGAGTCCAGGTCCTAGACTCTCCTTGTCAGACTCAGGAGTCAGATCCTCACTGTCCTCTACAACCAGGATTCCGGTGCATCACCTGTTCCACCAGCGGGGGCTCCATCTCCTGACTCCCCCCAACCCAGGGCTCCTCCGCAGCTATGTCTCTTCTACTGCTGGTAGTCTCGGCCCTTCACATCCTCATCCTCATCCTGCTTTTCGTGGCCACTTTGGACAAGGTAAGCCTACTTACCTGCAAGCCTCAAAGTCTCCAGCAGATAACTTGGTGAGCCAAGGCTCTAAATCCACTCGGGTCCCGCCCTCTTTTACCCACCATCTGACCCCGCCCCCTTTCCTTCTAAATCCCTTTCCCATCACTTCATCCCTTTCCTAACTCTTCAAACAAGATCCATAACTCTGCCTACTCTCATTTCCTAACCCTGCCCTCTTTCTATGTCCACCCCAGTCCTGGTGGACCCTCCCTGGGAAGGAGTCCCTGAACCTTTGGTATGACTGCACGCGGAATAGCAGCTTGGAAGCATGGTCCTGCAGTAATGTCAGCGAGAATGGTGAGGGGCCAGGGAAGTGGGGACTGGTCTTCTGGTTTCTGGGAACCACGGATTAGAAACCCCCAAATACTGAGGGGGTGGATTCAGGCCCTAAGGCTGAAATGTTCAGCCTATCTGGATGTTGTTGTTGTTAGTGTTGAGTGCGTCCAGACTCATAGCGACCCTAGTATAGTGTTTGTGGTATGGCTGGTGGGTTTGAAGCACCCACCTTGCTTAGCAACAGTTAGTAGTCCGGTTCTTATCCTACAGAGCCACACTAGGACTTTGCCTATCTGGATAGGCTCAAACTCCAGAAGGCGTGTTCTGAAGTGCCCCCCAACCAATTATGACTTTTAAAGAATAGAGGCTACATGCTGTCTGTAACTTGAAAGAGTGGGAGGCAGCCCCCAAGATTCTAAGAAAATAGGAATTATGTTTCCAGTGTTTTAAGAAGATGGGGCTAGTTTTCGAACTAGATGCCTGGGATCAGTTTCTCCAAATCCCAAAGAGGTAGAGCTAGAACTATAGTAAGGTTCTAAAGGGGTGGGACTGAGTCCTCCCAAGTTTCTGAAGGGGCAGGGAATGAGCCCTTCCAAGGATCTAAAGGTTCTTAGCCAGATGCTGGGAGGTTGAAAAGAAATGGGGCTGCATTCATCGTAGGTTCTAAGTGAAATAAGTAGAAAAGTGTTTTTCCCCAAGATCAAGACAAGAATGTCTGCTCTCACGATTTCTATTGGACATTGTACTAGAGGTACATGGCAAGGAAGAGAAATAAATAGCACAAACATTGAAAGGAAGAAGTAACATTGTCTCTTTTCCCAGAGAATGTGTTTATGTAAAAAATGTAAAGAACTTGCCAAGCAACTGTAAGAACTGCTAAGGGAATTTAGCAAGGTCTTAGGATACAAAATCAATGATATGAATAAGTGCAATGCCTTAGGGGTAAGGAGCCCTGGGGTGGCGCTGAGGGTTAATGCACCGGACTGCAAAGCCATTTGAACTGCAAGGTCGGCAGTTCAAGCTCACCAGCTGCTCCTTGGAAACCCTATACAGGGTGGATATGAGTCACAACCGACTGGACGGCACTTGACAACAACTTAGGGGTATGACTCCAAATGGGTGGAGGGGTTAACGGAAGTGACAAATGATGTGCAAAATAGCTGAAACTCTGGACCCAATTGTGAGTTTCACCTGTCTCCTCCTACTGCAGGTTGGCTGAAGGCTGTTCAGGTCCTCATGGTGCTCTCCCTCATCCTCTGCTGCCTCTCCTTCATCCTATTCATGTTCCAGCTATATACCATGAGACGAGGAGGGCTCTTCTATGCCACCGGCTTTTGCCAGCTTTGCACCAGTGAGCACTAACCCCAGGAATTGAGGGAGAGGGAGGGGATGTGACAGGATGCTGGGCCCCTAGAATGAAAACAATCCCCAGCAAGAGGACTGTTTGAGGTGCCTCCAGGGGCCACCTTTCTGCCCAAGGGACTGATGGGCAGTTGTAGTTGTCAGTGACTAATTTGTGGTTGAAACTGGGTTCCTGAGTCATGGGGAAGCTGGCAAATACGACTTCAAGGATTGTGGTTTGTAGAAGGAGTGTGGGCAAAAGAATTTGGGTTCCAGAAAAAAGGGTGGTGATGGTGGTGGGTGCCGTGCGTGTAGTTGGTTCCGATGATGCATAGCAACCCTGTATAGGGTTGTTTCCAAACCTGTAAATCTTTACTGAAGCAGAAAGCCTCATCTTTCTCCACAGAGCCAATGGTAGTCTCAACTGCTGACCTTGAGATTAGCAGCATGGCTAGTAACTACTCTGCTGATAAGGAAGGGAATGTTAATTAATACACCAACAGAGCTTTGAAGCATCATAACCACCCCACTCAAAAAATAAACAAACATAAAAACATTAAGAAACCCAGTTCGCCATCAAGTTGATTCTGGTTCATGGTGACCCCATGATGCAGAGTAGAATTCAGGTCCAGAGGTTTTTCAAGGCTGGGACCTTTCAGAAGCAGATTTCCAGGTCCTTCAACCAAAGCAGCCTCTGAGAGGGTTGTTAACAACCAGCCTCTTGACCTCTCAGTGAGTTGAGCACTTAACATTTAAGCCACCAGGGTTACTGATTGGCAGTCAGTTGTTTCTTGTGAACCTGTTTTGTACCAGACACTTCAGGGAATTTTGTGTACTTGGTTTTTTTTAACTCAGGTTCAAAAGCAACCCCCCACCCCACCCCGCCAAGAAAAAAAATAAAACTCCCAGCCATTGAGTCAATTCAGACTAATGCCCATCCTATAGGACACACAACTGCCCCAGAGTGTTTCTAAGGCTGTAAATCTTTATAGATGCAAACTGCCACATCTCTCCCACTGATCAAACCTCCAATCTATCCTTTAATCACTGCACCACCAGAGCACTTTCAGTTAATCGTCATGCTCAGTTTATGGGATATTATCTTCCTAAATTCCTCTATTTGCGTGGTTGGCATGAATGAATGAGTAGATGAATGCAATCGCTCTATTTTATGAATGAGTAGGCGGGGAAATTTAAAAAATTGCCCAAGGCTACTTTGCATGGGTGCACGATGCTGAAGGAATGAACTATGACTCCCAGCAGGTAGTGAAACTGCCCAGTCATCCTCCAGTGGCTTCTTTGCCCCAGGGACTAGTGGAAAATGTAGTTCTTTGGATTCTGCGTGACTCGTGTTTTCTGTCCCACAGGCTTGGCAGTGTTCTCCGGAGCCCTGATTTACGCCATCCACGCAGGGGAGATCCTTGAAAAATATCCATCTGGGGGCACCTTTGGCTACTGCTTCGCCCTGGCATGGGTGGCCTTCCCCCTTGCCCTAGTCAGCGGCATCATCTACATCCACCTGCGGAAACGGGAGTGAAAGCCCTGCATCGCCCCTCGACAGCACCCAGAAACCCCAACCCCGAGTGTCCTCCAAAAAATAAAACCGTCTAACCGCGGGCCTGCCTTTGACTCCTCCATTCCTCCCTCCGGTGGCTCAGGCTGTTTGCTCCTGACCTTTCCAGAACCACGGAGAGCCCCTATCCAATTGCCCTCAAAATGACCAACACAGGAGTCCACCACACCCGCCTGCTTTTCTCTTCCCACAGATCAAAGCCTCTCAGGACCTGGGCACCCACTTGCACCTGAGACTAGACCTCTAGGCACTCCTGGCAAAGACCCAGGAGGCTGAGTCCCAGCAAAGCCTATTTAGGACTCAGGAGTCTGGGTTCCCAGTTATCTTTTCTTGACTAAGAGTCTCTCCTAGGGTTCTAGGCATGGTGTGTGCTGTTGTAAAGTATTGGTCTCTCTTTTCTTTCTTTCTGACCTACCCTCTAGGAAAAGAATGTTCCTTTTCCCTCTTGTAACCCAGCTTCCCTTCTTCGCTAGGACCTGATCACTCTTCCCCTTTCTCCAAAGGCCACCTGTGGCCCATGTGACACTTAGTACAAAGTAGAAGGCACATCTCTCCTCCTGGCCGACCCCACCCATACCAAAACTTTGCAGCAAGGAACATAAGCTGGATTTTACACCCACCCACAGGAGCTCTGGTGACGTAACAATTGCTCAGATGCTGACTGAAAGGCTGGCGGTTCAAACCCACCGGCTACTCCTCAGAAGATGAGCTTGTCTTCTCCAATTTAGTCTCAGAAATACTACATGGGGTTGCCATGATTTGAATAGACTTCATGGAGGTTGGTTGGTATAGGAGCTCTGGCAACACAACAGTTAAGTACTCAGCTGCTGGTGATCTGAACCCAGCCATCGGCTCCATGGCTCTCATGAAGACAGCATAGGAAATCCTATGGGGCAGTTCTGCTCTGTCACATGGTGATGTCTCTATGAATTGAAAAATCAACAAGATGGTAGCTAACAACATCCCCTGGGTTATATGCCTTTGTGCAGTGATCAGCTTGCACAACGGTACACCGCTACCTTATGCCCTGAGCTCACAGGACCCAAGGCATCTTCTCTCAGATTCTCTTCTTTAAACCAACTAAGACCCTCGCTTCCCACTAAGTCTATAGAGCTTTCTCCTCCTGGGACCCACCCACAAGCACTAGCACTGCCCCCCCCCCCCCCCCAACACACCCAGAGCTCCTTCTTTTCCAGGAACTCAGATGTCTTCCATCCCTCCAAGTTTCCCTGCCACTCCCCATCTACTCCACCCCACTCATCCAAACGTATTCAACATGATTTATTCCTCTGGGAGGGAAAAAAGGCGAAATCAATACATATAAATATTACACAGGCTGCTGGCAGTGAGGAGGTCCAGACTGAGGTAGTTTCTGTTGAAGGGATGACGGACTTAGGTCAGGAAGGCACCTGAGGTTATCGGGAACCTGATTAGGAGCAAGTCTTGGTGTGATAGTGGTCTCAGGTTCATCCGGACCCACAGCTTTCTTGCCTAACACAGGGGTCCCAATCTCTTCAGTCTGGACCAGCTAATCAGCAACTGACCAGATGGCTCACCAGAGAAGCAGCGCAATTGATATAAGGATCGGTTTTCCTTTAGACGTTGCTGATTGGTTGCTTCGGAACAGCCACAACTGGCTGCCCAAGGTTGACTGTACCCAGCAGCTGTCATTGGCCGTTTGCCAGGGGACAGGGCTAAACGGCTTTATTGGCTGCTGGCTGGGGCCCGGCTCCATGCACAGGACAAGCAGTTTGCCGGGAGCAAGCTAAAAAGACAGTGATATGTAACCTCGGGAGAGCGCAGTTTAACTGTGCTTGACGGTTTAGAAGACAGAGCTGAGCAGCGGTGATTGGCTGGCAACGCCATCCCACCCTCCTCCAGCCAAAGCACCACATTTGAGGCAAATGTGGGACTGAGTAATGGAACAGAAGCAGAATTAGCGCAGACTAGTGGTTCCTCAGAAGCCTGGCAACTGTGGGCTGCCTTGATTGGCTGCGCCGTTTGTCCCTCTGGCGAACGGAATCGCCTCAGTCTTTGAAAGTTGGGCGTGGCGAACCTGGTGGCGGTGATTGACAGCTCGTAGAAAAGACAGGGCTTAGCGTCTAGCCAGGTGGGTCACCAACAGGTCTGAGCCGGGCAACTGCGATTAGTTGTTACTGCGGGGTTGTATAACCTGGGGGGGTCTCAGTTTGGATAGAAGCCAGCTGCTCTAATTTGGGAAAACCCGGAGGAGGGAAGAGCCCGATGCTGGGAGTCAGGGCTTGTAGGTGGGCCAGGGCCCGGGTTCCGTTGAAGGCCACGTCACAGCCCGACTGGGCCAGGAGCCAACTCTCTACCTCAGTCTGGAGCCATTGGGATGTCTCTGCAGGTGGAGAGGCAGGTGTGACTAGGTCAAACTGGGAGGTGGCGGGCAGCGGGAGGGAAGCAAGGCAGGAAGTCCGAGGGGCCCATGTCTGGGAAACCCGGGAATACATGAGATGTGGAGGGGAGTGTGACAAACCCTGGTAAAGTCCTGGGGGACAGGAGGCTCATTTGCAGGATGGCAACTGGGGAGAAGCCAGGGACTCCCATTCAGGGAAGGGCAGGGGCTCCGGTCAGAACAGGAGATGAGAAGAGGGGGTGTGACATGACTGGAGGCCGATTCAGGGGCCCCATCGGGGTTGGGGTCTGGCCAGGGAGGGACCTGGTTCAAAATAGTATTCCGGGTTCTAGGGGAGGAGGAAGAGGAGGGAGTGTGAAACCGGAACCCAAGATCTCTTTTGAGAGGGGCCAGGACCACGCATGACGTCAGTCCAGGGTTAGGGACTGGCAGTATCACTTCAGAAGCTGGGTTCAGAGGTCCCATCTGCTGATAGCCAAGGTCACCTTGGAAATCTGTCAGGTTCCCCAGTGGAAGCGGATGGAGGGACAAGTGGGAGGGGCTGGGCAGCATTGGGGTGGTTCGTTGGTCACTGAGATGGTGGCATCTGGGACTGTCTAGTGCAGCCTCCATCCTATAGGGACTGCTGCTTTTCACCTGGGCAGGCAAAGCCATGGGGTGGAGCCTCGAGGGAGGGTGGGAGGGCTCCACCGGGATCCTACCTTGAGGCGAGCCGTTGACACCCCCAGGATACCGTGCCAGGAAGCTGTGTGCCAGCAGCGCTTCCTTAGCGTGTTCCTCCTGCGCTCGCAGGGTCAGGGCGCTGAGCAGCTCCGAGTTGTTGGACGTGCTGCGGTAGTAGAGCATGTGCGCCAACTCCAGCGCCTGCATGCTGCGCCTCTGGCCGAACATCTACAGGCGGGACAGTGGCCGCAAGGGCTCAGCTCCAAGCCCAGGTACACACACATACGCACGCACACACCCCGCCCCTCACGTTGAGGGATCTTTCCCGCAGACTCATGTGTAAAGGGGAATGGTGATTCATAGCCAGCCTGGTAGGAAGTAAACAGTTTTTAGAAAGTACTTCTCAGGTTTGCTTGATATAAATGTATTTGTCAGAGTCTGACATTGAAGTAAAAAAAAACAAAAAAACTCTTAAGATATGCTCACCATGGAATGGTCCATCATTTAAAATCAAAGGGGCAACATTTACCTAGGGACAAAGTTGAGGGGGGTGATGGGAAAGTGGGTGAAAGGGAACTAGGAACCACAGGGAGAGCGTGGGCTAACTGTTGTTCCATGGAGGGGATTGCAATCATTGAGATGAAACAACGTGTGTGACTTGTTGAATGTAAAATTGAGATCCTGTCTGTAAACCACTCAATTCACAATAAAAAGTTAAACACACACAACAAAACATTGCAGTGGGGTCTATTTTGGACTCACAGTGATTCTACACGAAAGAGCAGAAGTGTGCCCTAGGGTTTCAAGGCTGTTAAATCTTTACTTGAAGCTGCTGGCCACGCCTTTCTCCCAGTGGAGCAGTTGATGGTTCAAATCTTAGCAGCCTGGAAATTCAACCACTAACTGCTGGACCACCAAGGGCTCTTGATCTTAAGTATCTTGTTCTTGTTAAGTGCTGTCGAGTTGGTTCCGAATCACAGTGAAAGTATAGGGTTTCCAAGGAGCGGCTGGTGAATTTAAACTGCCAACCTTGAGGTTCAAATCGACGTTCCAGTCCAGTGTTTATCCTACAGCACTACACCACTCTTCTTCCCTTTCCCCAAAGGCTATCTCTGACCCCAAAGGCCACCTGTGGTCCATATGACGCATGAATACACAGTAGAAGGCACAACCTGAATTTAGAGACCATCTCACAAATAGATTTTTGGTGCACTGAAGGCTAATGACTGAAGACCAGACGAACTGTGGGATAGCTTGATTCAACAAAGGCATCATGCATAGAAAAAGCAAGAGGTCACCAAAAAGACAGAGAAGGAAAAAGATCAAAATGGACGTCAGAAGAGACTTTGAAACTTACTACTCCTGAACGTAGAATAGTAGCTAAAGCTAAAGGAAAAAATGGTGATGTGAAGGAGCTAGACAGAAAATTCCAAAGGGTGGCTGGAAAAGGCAAAGTAAAGTGTCACAATGAAATGTGCAGAGACCTGGAGCTAGAAAACCAAAAGGGAAGAAAATACTTGGCATTTCTCAAGCTGAAAGAACTGCAAAAAAAAAACCTCAAGCCTCGAATTGCAATACTGAGTCACTGTACACAAAAGAACTGGTTGACATTCAACCATTTCAGGAGATGGCTTATGGTCAGGAACTGATGGTATGGAAAGAAGACGACATCTAAGCTGCACCGAAGGCATTGGCAAAAAAACAAAACAAGACTCCAGGAATTGACAGAATACCAACTGAGATATTTCAATAAATTGATGCAGCATTGGAGATAATCTCTAGTTTATGCCAAAAAAAAAACTGGAAGACAGCTACCTGGCCAACCAACTGGAAGAGATCCATACTTATGCCTATTTCAAAGAAAATTAACGATAAATATCACATGCAAGTAAAATTTTGCTTAAGATAATACAAAAACATTTGCCACAGTACATCAACAGGGAACAACCAGAAATTAAAGCTGGATCAGAAGAGGATGTGGAATAAGGGATATCATTGCTGATATATATTGGATCTTGGCTGACAGCCGAGGATACTAGAGTTTATCTGTGTTTTGTTGACTATGCAAAGGCATTCAACTGTGTGGATCATAACAAGTTATGAACAACACTGTGAGGAATAGGAATTCTAGAACATGTAACGGTGCTTATGTAAAACCTGTACATAGAATAAGAGACAGGTGTTCAAACAGAACAAGGGGATCTTGCCTGGTTTAAAATCAGGAAAGGTGTATATCAGATGTGTACCCTTTCACAATACTTACTCAGCCTGTGTGCTGAGCAAATAATATGAGAAGCTGAATTACATGAAGAACACAGCATCATTGGAGGAGACTCATTCACAACCTGTGATAAACAAAATGCAGACGGTAAACCTTGGTTGCTGGAAGCAAAGACGACTTGAAGCATTTACTGATTGTGGTGCAGTGGATTGCTTAATATGGCCTTTCTGGTTCCCACACAATGACTGAGTGGGACTATGCAAATAAGGTGCTTGTGGTCCCTCAAGAGGATTGGACAAATGACTGCTAATGCATATAAGGTGTGAGGAAATTGTGATGATTAAGGTTATGTGTCAGTTTGGCTGGAGGATTTTCATTGGTTCAACAGCTATGTAATGAAATAGTGTTTTTCACTTGATGCTCTGGGGTAATTATTTTCCATTTTGTGATGTGATGTAAATCCTAGCCTCTAGGAGTCCTGGTATGGTGCAGCGGGTTAATGTGCTGGGCTGCAAGTTCACCTTGAACCTCAGGGTCAGCAGTTCAAGCTCACCAGCTGCTCCACAGAAACCCTATACAGGGTCACTATGAGTCAGAACCGACTCAACAGCACTTAACAACACCTGTAACAGACAAGTCATTACTACATGAGGTAGGATCAGGGTAACATGTATCTTAAGTCACTGCTTTACTATGGAGACACTGTGACTCAAGTCACCACCCTAACCCCAATCACCCCACCCATACTAACCTTATTCAAGTCACACACATGTACTGCCTTGCTCAAGTAAGGGGAGTTTCCTGGAAGGTTCTGGTCTGAATCCAATACGGATATAGGAATGCTCTGGCAAAGTCCCCTCTGTTGCTCTGGATCCTGTATCTGGTTCTTCATCATCTGACCTCTGGTTCTCGAGCCAGCAGCCTGTTGTCTGACCTGCCCATTTGGGTTCCTCAACCCCTAGAACCACGTGAGTCAGGAGAAGGCTCCAGCCTGGTGCCTGACCCATGGGTTTGGGATTTGCCAGCCTCCACAACTATATGAGCCATGTTCTTGATGGATCATGAGTTTTATGAGACATTGCACTGAACTGTGTATTGAGGGGAAGAGGAGTAGGTGATATCAGGGATGATGAAGAGGTACAGCAGATTGGAAAAGTTAGACTTTAGAGACATCTTTAACCTCAGCCTTATAGGAACCAGTTTTTTTGCTGATCCTTATAAATTAAATTGGAGTACTGGTGTGTTGTTATAGGATGAACACTGGACTGCTAACTGCAAGGTCAGAAATTCAAACCTACCAGTTGCTCCTCAGAAACCCTATACAGAGTCACTATGAGTCACAACCGACTCAAAAGCATTTAACAACAATAACAAATGACTCATTCACTGATGAATATTAAAGCCTTCAGTATGGCTTACACCTTAATAGAAACAGAACAAAAATCTTCACAGCTGGCCCAATAAGCAATATCATGATAAACAGAAGATACTGAAGTCTCAAGGATTTCATTTTACTTGGATCCACAATCAATGCCCATGGAAGTAGCAATCAAGAACTCAAATGCCATAGTGCATTAGGTAAATGTGTTGCAAAAGACCTCTTTAAAGTGTTAACAAGCAAAGCTGTCACCTTGTGGACTAAGACGTGCCTAAGCCAAGTCGTGCCACTTCTAACCACCTCATATTCATGGGAAAGCTGGATAATGAATAAGGAAGACTGAAGAACAATCAATACATTTGAATTACAGTGTTGGTAAAGAATATCAAATATACAAAGGGTTGTCAAAAGAACAAACCAATCTGTCTTGGAAGAAGTACGGCCAGAATGTTACTTAGAAGGGAGGATGGTGAGACTTTGTCTCTTGTACTTTGGACGTATTTTCAGGAGGGACTAGTCCTTGGAGAAGGATATCAAGCTTGGTAAAGCAGAGGGTAAACAAAAAAGTGAAAGAGCCTCAAGGAGATGGACTAACACGGTAGCTGCAAAAAAAGGGATCGAACAAAGCAGGAACTGTGAGAACTGTGCAGGACTGGAGGCTTCATTCTGTGGCTCATGGTTGGTTGGTTGGGTGGCAGGGAGAGTTGGTTCCGACTCATAGTGATCCCGTACAGGCTTCCGAGGCTGTAAATCTTTACGGGAGCAGAAAGCCTCATCTTTCTCCCGCAGAGTGGCTGGTAGTTTCGAACTGCTGACCTTGCAGCTCGCAGCCCGATTCGTAACCACTACGCTACCAGAGCTCCTTTCTGTTGCTCATAGGGTTGAAATAACAGCTATCACTCTTACAAGGAGGCCTAAGGTGAAATCCCTGGAGCGTCAACCCCACAAACCTACACCCATGGCCTTGAGCTGATTCCGCCTCATACTGACCCTGCAGGACAGAGCAGAACTGCCCCATAGGTTTTCCAAGGTTGGAATCTTTTTTGGAAAGATTGATGGTATTGTGGTCAAAGCCCTCGCTGCTAACCCAAAGGTCAACAGTTCCATCCCATCACTAGCTCCTTGGAAACAAGGTGTGGCAGTCTGTTTCCATAAATATGGCCGCTTTGGAGACCCTATGCTGCTGATCTAGTCTGTCCTACAGGGTCGCTCGGAGTTGGAAGCCACCTGACAGCAGCAGACAGAGACACCTTTCTCGCGTGGAGAGCTGGTTCGAAATGCCCACCTTTCAGTTACCAGTTGAGCACTTAACCACTATGGTACCAGGGCTCCTGTGAAGTCACCCAGTCCCTGAAAATGGCGGAAAGGGCCTGAAGGGGAAACTGACACAGGCTGGGGGCAGAGAAGGAACAGTACTTCTTTTTACAAGCCCTGCACAGTCTCTTATACCCCTGCGCTGGAATTGACCGCCATTTCTTCAGTTGACAAGATACAGGAATTGGATGAGCAGGCAGTTCATGCCACACTCCATGGCACACAGAGGAAATCAGACCTCTCCCTGGGAGATGGACTGCCACCGGGTTGTTGGTATTGTTCAATGCCTTCGTATCCAACTCACAGCGACCCTACAGAACAAAACACTGCCCGGGTCTGCACCATCCCAGCAAGCACTGCTGTTGGAACCTATTGTTGTAACCATTGTGTCGAGCCATCCATGGAGCATCTTTCTCTTTCTCCGCTGACGCTGACCCTCAACCTTACCCAGCAGGATGTCCTGCTCCAGGGGTTAAGCAGACCTGCTGGAGGCTAGGTCTGGCAGGAAGCAGGAGGAGGGGTGGAACAGTGCCATGGAGACGCAGGGATCAGACTATTTGGGGAGCAAGGAGACAGTGGCTCTTAGGGGTCTAAGCACTGAAAAGGGGGCAACAGGGCAGTCCAAAGAGCCGGGAACCTGGTGCAAATGCTGCCTTCAGCCTGCTGGCACTGGGTATAAGGCTCAGTGGCAGGGAGGGTCACGGTGGAGGCAAATCCACATGCGTGTGCAGGGGACAAGGGATCAAGTGGGAAGGAGCCAGAGGAGTGTACAGTACACAGCTGGGGCTCAGTCCCCAGGTGGAAAAATCAGTTAACCACCACTTGAAATTAACCTCAGAGCCCACCAGGTTCCACAGCCCCTAGGGCCACCCTGGGTTGGGACCCGTTATCTACCGCCTCCTTGCCTTTCCTGTAGAGCCCACCCACGTGTCCTCTTGGGCTGCCCTCGTCTCCAGTGCTTACAACCCTTCCCAGCTCCCAGAGGCCTAAAGAGCCTCACCTGGCATTCAAGGCCTTTGCCACCCTTGGAGGTGTCACCTCTCTCCCTGCACCCCAGACTCCAGCTCCCTAGATATGCCTTACTTTCCACATCCTTTTCACCAGATTCAACATGCCCTGGTGGTGCAATGGTTAAGCGTTCGGCTGCTGACCAAAAGTGAGCAGTTCAGTGGTTGGTGCTGACCAACCACTTCGTGGGAGAAAGCTGTGACCGTCTGCGTCCTTGAAGCTAACAGCCTTGGAAAACGTATGGGGTAGTTCTTCTCTGTTCTATTAGTCATTATGAGTTGGAATTGACTTGAGGTCACACAAGAACCACGGTCCTGCTAATGTGCCAGGCTTCCACTGGGGGCCTGGCTGTTCTGTGTGAGATTCGTTACCAGCCTGAGGAAGAACGAGCTGGATGGCTGCAAACAGCTTCTTGTTGTTGTTGTTGTTATGTGCCGTGGAGTCGGAACCGACTCATAAACCAGCAAGTGAATGATCGGGTACAACACACGCCTCACACACTCCTGGGGCTCATGCCAACCCCTGGGAGAGGCAGGAAAAGGCAACCCCTCAACCTGAGACAGGGCACCTGCCTTGGCAAGCAGAGCACAAGTTGGGCCTCCCTGTACCAGGAGGCCTTGTGTGGTGAACAACATGCGCAGCGGTACCTCCGAGGCAGCCCTGTACCACATGTGGCTCAATCAGGAAGAGACTCAGGAGAGATCCCATTTCCTGAACCTCTGTCCCAGAATTTCCAATTCAGTCCATTTTTGGGGGAGGGTTGGGGGGGAGGGGGGAGGGAGGCAGGGAGGTCAGAAAGCTGCATTTACAGACCAGCTCCTCTGGCAACATTAACACCTTCCCAGGATGGGGAAGCCCCAGGAACAAACAGTCCAATTAGGAACAACACAGCAGTAATAACTTCCTATATGGCACGTCTCCGTACTATACACCTATCTACTGATTTTATCCTGACCACAACCCTAAGAGTTAGGGTCTATAGTCATCCTCCTTTCCAGTTACGAGAGCTGAAGCACAGAGAAGTCAAGCAACTCACTCAAGGTCACACGGCTAGAATATGGGCGCGTCAACACAAACCCGGTGGTCTGGCTCCAAAACCCACATCCCTGGCCCTGCCCTTACGCTGCCTCTCGTGGTGAGTGAACGCTCAGTGGTGGCTGTGAACCACGTGTGCTCCCTGCTTTTTACAGATGCACCCACTAAATCCTCACAACCACCATCCTGTGAGGTGGGCCTCACTTTCCAGAGTGGGTCTCCATGTTCCAGATGGTGAAACTGAGGCCCAGAGGGGTTAAGAAACCTACTCATGGTTGTATTGAGTAAATACAAGGTTAGGAAGGAAGGGAAGGACAGAGGGAGGGAAGGATAAAGGGGAAGGAGAGAGGGAGAGAGAGAATGAGCGAGGGGGGGAGGGGACAGGAGAGAGAGAGGCAGGAGGAAGACAGGAACCGGTGAGGAAGGAAGACAAGCTAGAAGGGAGAGAGGAAGGAAGGAGGACAGGAAACACAGCATGCCACGGGAATAACAGATGGAAGAAACAGAAATACTGGGTGGCCTGAATGTGGGACCCCAAGAGTGTGGATGGCAGGGTGGCCCACTCACCTTGGAGGCCCGCAGGCCCATGAAGATAGCGAAGAGCAGCAGCAGCAGTGAGGTGCCCACCTTGAGGTCGGAGAGCACCACCATGCCCACGTTGACGAAGAACACCAGGCCCGAGACCACCAGCGTGAGGTTGAGCAGGGCGCGCTGCAGGGTGGACGTGCGCACCTTCAGTTCGGGCAGCAGCTGCTCCAGGCCTTCCAGTGGCGTGTCCTTGAAGCACTTCAGCACCAGGTGCCCTCGCTTTGTCCGGGCCGCCAGCACCACCCGCTTAAAGTACCTCCTGCCAGGCCAGAGACAAGAGAGTCCCACAGGGTCCAGATGCCCTGGGGAGGCCCGTCCAGCCCCAGCTGGTCCTCTCTGGCTCTTCAGCTACTCAACCATCTTAGAAGGCAACTTAAGTCATTGTTAGGGGAGCATGGTGGCTCCACACAATAAGCACTGGACTGCGAACCACAAGGTCGGCAGTTTAAGCCCATCTGCTGCTCCACAGGAGAAAGATGAGGCTGTCTGCTCCCATGAAAATCTAAAGACTTGGAAACCCAATACAGTGTCACTACATGTCAGAAGCAACTCCACGTCACTTAACAACAACAATCATTGTTAAGTAGCTGGTGGCACAGTAGGTTCAGAATCACACTGCTAACAGCAAGGTCAGCGGTTCATAGGAGAAAGCTGAGGCTATCTGCTCCTATAAAGATTACAGTCTCGGAAACTCTCTGGAGCAATTCTATCTGTCGTGCCGGGTTGCTAGGGGTCAGAACGAACTAGAGGGCAGTGAATTTGGTTTTGGGTTTAATCACTGGTGGTGGTGGCTTGCCTTTGAGGCAATTCCAACTCATGATGAGCCGTGTGTGCGAGAGTGAAACTGTGAACCACGGGCTTTCAGTCACCTAGTTTCCAGAAGTCGATCCACAGGCCTTTGTTCCAGGTGCCTCAGGTAGACCCACATCCTAGTCTTTCCTTTAGCAGCCAAGTTTGGTAACTTTTTTACTGCCCAAGGGCTGCTGTTGTTGGGCACCCCTAAGTTGATCCCAACTCATGGCCACCCCATGCGTGACAGAGCACAATGGCCCCGCAGCATTTTCCAGGCGGCCATCCTTACAGAAGCACATCGCCAGGTCTTTCTGGCATTTGAACTGCCAACGTTTTGGTTAGCAGCCAAACACTTAACCACTGTGCCATTGGGCCTCATTTATTCAATTATGGTGGGGGACAAAAATCAGAAGCAAGCTAAGTGTCCCACCACAGAGGATGGGCACCCAGGTTGGTCCTGATTTTGCATGCTTGATAGATGAGAATGCGACCAAATTCTTTAATTTTCAAATTCAAGTGACACATATATTTGCAGCGCACCTACGAGGTGTCAGGGACTCTCTTATGCTCTGGAGAGATAACAGGACAATAGGCCTGTTACTGCTTTTATAGGACTGACAGTCCAGCTTGGGACAGACACAGCTGTGCACAGAGTCTGCAACTATAAATATTTCTTAGGATCAGAGTCTTAAAAGTGGAAGTATTGGTTCAAGGATGTGAAACTAATTTTTTAATTTTTTAAAATTCCTGACTATATGGACTCCTGGTGTGGCGCTGTAGGATCAGCGCTGGAACACAAACCACAAGGTTGGGAGTTCAAACCCACCAGCTGCTCCTCAAAAACCCTATGTAGGGTCACTATGAGTTGGAACTGACTCAACAGCACTTAATAATCACAAAAAATATGTGCTAAGGAGTCCTGGTATGATACCATAGGATAAGCATTGGACTGCTAACTGCAAGGCCAGCGATTCAAATCTACCAGGCACTCCTCGGAAACCCTATATAGGGTAACCCTGTACACGGACTTGACAGCACTTCACAACAACAACAACAAATTTGATTGAAAAAAAAGAAAGAAACCCCGGAAACACTGTGGGTTTAAAGATGCAGCTGTCTGCTCCCATGAAGGTTTTGTCTCTGAAACCCTGAAGGGAGTCACTATGGGTCATAGCCGACTTGATGGCAGTGGATCTGGTATGCTTTTTATATTTGCTAAAGGAATCCCTAAGGTGCCCTGATGATGCAATGGTTAAGCGCTTGGCAGCTGAACCTAAAGATGGTCAGTTCAAACTCACTGGCTCCTCTGTGGGAGAAAGATGTGGCAGTGTGTTTCTGCAAAGCAAACAGCCATAGTGCTTCAGGGTTGCTGTGAGTCAGAATTGGCAGTAGCAGGTTTTGATTGCATAAACAGTTCAACATTTGACATTAACTGAAAGGTTAGCGGTTTCAACTGATCCTGGGGTGCCTCGGAAGAAAGACCTGGCGATCTGCTTCCGGAAGGTCACGGCCTCGGACAGCCTTTGGAGCACAGTTTAACTCTGCCCACAAGGCGCTGAGTTGACTCACTAGTAACTGACAACAACCTATTTGATGAACACATTTCCAGAGGGGCTGAGCAGCATACAGGTCCACTTCTGACTCACAGTGACCCTGCGTACTGGACAGAGTAGAACTGCTCCCCAGGGTCTCAGAGACTCCACATCTCTATGGGAGCTGTTGTTGCGAAGCGCTGTCAAGTCGGTTCCAACTTATAACGACCCTGTAGAGGGTTTCCGAGGAGCAGCTGGTGGGTTTGAACTGCTGACCTTGTGGATCGCAGCCTAGTGCTGATCTTTACAGCGCCATACCAGAAGTCCCTCGTTTTTCTCCTGAGGAGCAGTTGGTGGGTTTGAACTGCTGACCTTATTGCATTGAACATTGCAGGTCAATGTTTACCCGACAGTACCAGCTAACTATAAAAGGATCTGACCTGCCTTAGTTCTAAACTCGGCTCTAGTTTCCCACCATGATTCAGTGCAGAAACCCTGATGATACAACAGAGAACACTCAGCTGCTAAATGAAAGCTTGGCAGTTGGAATCCGCATAAGGACTCCATAGTAGGAAAGACCTGGCGATCGGTTCCTATAAAGATAACAGCCAAGAACACCCTATGGAGCAGTTCTACTCTGTCATCTGGGGTCACTACGAGTTGGAATCAGCTTTGACGACACCCAGCAACAACCCTAGCCTGTACTTGACTATCTTCAGTTAAAAACTGTCTATTGGAGGCCGGGCTGCACCATTTCTTCAGAATGTACACAGTCTTCCCTTTCTGAGCCTCAGTTTTCCTCATCTGGAAAATGGGAGAATGGCCTTTACTCTGTCTCTTCCCTGAGGAACAGTAGTTCTATCTCTCAGAGAAGCAGCATTTTTACGATACACCCTTGCCCTTTCTCAACTTCCCACCAGGATCCCAGACACCCACATCCAGACACTGACCTCCATGCCCCCTCTCGACTCTAACCTTGCTCCCTCTCATGTAGCTGGAGAACAAGGGGCTCCTCACCTCTCTGTAGGGGGCGACTTGGTGAAGAAGCCACGCTTGGAGCCCACGCTGGACAACCGGGGCATCTGCCCGACTCGCTGGCCCAGGGCCCAGAACTGCATGTAGACGTACTGGTCCAAATTAATTGTTACCTACCAAGAGGGATGAAGGGGACAGGCAGCTGAACATGGGTTGGGATGTGAGGACAGGATGCTGGAATAAGCTGACCCTCCCTCCAACAACTCCCTCCTTTTCCCTGGCTTCTCAGCATCCAATGTTCAGGCAAGTCCGCCATATACGGTTGCTCTGGTTGTATACTGTACAAGGGTACACTCGTCTAAGACAGCAGCAAGTCAGTCTGATTAGTGGATTTCTAAGATGCCCCTGAGTTTATTTTGTAACTTCTTTTTAAAATTTTATTGTGGCAAAAAATATATACCAGAACACCTGCCATTCCCATCATTGTTCCAGGGCCAATTCAGCGACATGAACTATGCTCACTGTGTTGTGACCATTGCTTCTGTTCATTTCCAAAATGAGTATCACCCCCAAGAGAAACTCTGCACCCACTAAGCAATAACGCCTCAGTCTCATGACTCTCCAACCCCAGCCCCTGGTACCCTCTGGTCTACTTGTTGTCTCTATGAATTTGCCTGTTCAAGAGATTTCATGTAAGTTGTTGTTACTGTTAGGTGCCATTGAGTCGGTACCAACTCACAGCGACCTTATGCACAACAGAACGAAAGAAATACTGCCCGGGATCACGTAATACTTGCCCTTTTGTGCCATGCTTATTACTTTACTCTGCATAAAGATGCCACTGATTAAGATACCCTATTATGAAAGGAGTCCTGGTCGCACAGTGGTTAAGCACACACCTAACTGAAAGGTCTGAGGTTGTAACTCACTAGCTGCTCTGAGGCAATCTGCTTCTGTAAAGACTTAGAGCCTCAGAAACTCTATGGGGGCAGTTCTGCTCTGTCCTAGAAGGTCACTATAAATGCAGCGTTTGGGGTTGTTTTTGTTTTTGGGGGGGACTGGAGGGGTAGGTAGGAATAAGGAGTGAGGGTTAGGGTTGGCACTATGGCTTGGTCTAGGCTGGGGCTCGGACTTCATTTAGTATTAGGGTTATGACTAAGTGCCATCGAGTCGGCTCTGACTCATAGCAACCCTGTAGAGGGTTTCCAAGAAGTGGCTGGTGAGCTTGAACTGCTGACCTTGTGGTTCCAAACCGACCTTGTGGTCCAGAGCATTAACCCGCAGTGCCACACCAGGACTCCGGGTTACGTATAATTAGGACTAGGGTTAGGGTTAGTGGTAAGGGTTAGGCTCGGGCTAGGAGTAAAGCTTGGTCTAATTTTGAGGGCTACAATCAAGTATCTTTACTTTTTCTTGAACTCTTGATTTCCTCTTCATTTGGAAGTTCTGTAATTACATTATTCCCTCGTTTTACTTTATGGGTTTGTTTGCTGTTGTTGCTGTATCTCTGGTTCTCTATTTTCAGGTTTGTAAGTCTGTTTTTCATTGACTATTTCCATATCTGGGTTCAGTCTAGGTGATATTGTCATGTATGTTAATCACAGGTTGTTGGTTCTCTAGCCAAAGAACGCCCATTAATATCTTTTTTTTGTAAGGTTGGTTTAGTTTTTACAAATCTTCTAATTTCTGCCTATCTGAAAATGACTAATTTTGCCATCATATTGGACTGACAATTTTGCTGGCTATAGGGTTCTTGGTTGGCAGTTTTCTTTCCTCTCAGGGTTTTATACACGTCATTCCATTGTCTTCTTGTGACTGTGGCTACTGCTATAGATTGTTGTTGCTGTTAAGTGACATCTAATCGACCTGTACAGGGTTTCCAAGGAGTGGCTAGTGTGTCTGTGTGTTTGAACTGCTGACCTAGTGGTTAGCAGTCCAGTGCTTATCCTACAGTGCCACAACAAGATTATGTCATCTCCCCCCAAAAAAGGTGTGTTGTAAGTCCTAGCATCTGTGCATATGGGAGTCCCAGTGTGGCACAGTAGGATAAGCATTGGACCACAAGATCGGTTTGAACTGCAGTGTCAGTGGTTCAAATTCACCAGCCGCTCCTTAGAAACCCTCTACTGGGTCGCTATGACCCCAAACCAACTTGACAGCACTTAACAACAACAAAACGGTGCAGTGGTTTAAATGCTCAGCTGCCAACTGAAAGGTCAACAGTTTGAACCCAGCAGCAACTCCTCAAGAGAAAGACCTGGCAACAGCTTGTGTAGCGATTACAGCCTTCAAAACCCTCTGGGGCAGCTTCACTCCCCTACAGGGTCATTTTGAGTCAGAATCTACCAGATGGTAATGAGTTTGGGGTTTCTTGGGTTGTTTTTTAAAGTTTTTATTGTGAATTGAGTGGTAGTTTACATGAGGGAACATCCGTTCGTTTCATTGCAATTGCAATAATTACAATCACCTGCATGCTTCATCGTTCGACCATATTTGTTTCTATTCCCTCTGATTGTTTGTTTTTTGGATGTGAACCAAAAAACTCAGTAATATACAATCATTCAAACAGCCAAAGAGCACACCCTACCCCCCAGCCGCCAGCACACATCCCCTCTCCCTCCATGAGTCTAGAGTCCTCAGCTGCTCCGTCTCTCCACGTCATCATCTGTCTCCATCTCTGGAGTAGCTACTTCTCTGGGTAGGGTCCCACACTCCGTTCCCTCTCTTCTCCCTTGATGGTCCCAGGGTCCTCCTCTCTGAGACTGTACAATCAACCACTCACCCCTTTTTGCTACTAACCTTCTACCTTTACAGTTGCGACAATGACAATCGCAATTAGCCATGATAACAATTACTCACTATTGAGTCATGAGAGTCTTGTCCCCATCTCCTTTCAGGAGACCTGTCTAGACAGGATGAAAACCACTCAGTGGGGAATCTACCTTCCCTCGCACATTCTGAATCTAAACTCCCTCTTGAAAACTTGTAAGCCAGTCACTTCATGCCTTCACAGGCCACCCCCCATTCTAGGGAGCTAATGTCTAAGTTGCCAGTCCCTATCAATCTTTAGTTGTTTTTTTAATGCCTGTGGTTATGGTCCCATTTGGGAATGGGTTGCCTTTACTATGTTAATGAGACAGGATTTTGGTAGTGTGTATTTCGAGTCAATCTCTTTTGAGATCCGAAAGACATCAAAACCAGCAAGCTCACAGGCTGAGAGGGGGGAAGACTGAAGCCAAGCCACATGGAGATCTTCAAAGAACCAGGAAACAATATGAAGAGACAAGGACCTTCCCTCAGAGCCAACAGAGAGAGAAAGTTGTCCCCTAGAGCCAACACCCTGAAATCAAACTTCTGGTCCCCTCAACTGTGAGAAAACACATCTCTGTGTGTTAAAACCCATCCACAAAGCATGCTGGGCGACTGGGCCCTGATACCTGGACCTCGTCCTGAGGATGGTGTACCACCAGAGCATAGGCCAGGGCATCCTCGGATAGCACGGAGAAGTTGGCTTGCATGAGCAAGGGTGTGAGAGCCCCAAGTACTTCCTGCTCGTTGGACAGACGCTGGGGATCTGTTAGCGAAGGCTGGTCGAGGGTCTCTCTGTCAGGGTTGATGGGGTCATACAAGGCCTGAGAAGAGAATGAGAGAGAACAAAAATGCACAGTTATAGCAGGAGGGATTATGGGGAGACTTGATGGGGTCCCCTGGGTCCCCATCCCTTCTCTCTTGTCAAGCTCATTCAAGGCACCTGGCCATCGCCAAGCCCTTAAACACACCCTCTGTGTAGAGAACCCCCCCATCTCACCTCCTCTCCTCTCCTTCAAATTCCAGACCTAAGGTCTAACTTGGAAGCAGGCTGCCACCCTTCCACCAACACCAAGCTTCTTGTAGCTTCCTGCTGCATTTAGAGTAAAATCCAGAATCTTTGCACAACCTTCGATGTCCCCCATGAACCCATGAACGGATCTCTGCCTTGTTCACTTCATCTTATACACTTCATGCAATCTCCTCCCTCTCCATGACAAAAGGAAAAACCTGATGAATGAATGAAGATGTTTGAGTCTCCAGTAGCCTAGTGTACTTCACTCAGGAAAACTGAAGCTCAGGGCAACATGATATCTCCCACATTAACACAGTTGAGCGGGAACTGGCTGGGCTCAGAAAGACTACATTTCCCAGCTGCTCTGGGGCTGGGCGTGGCCAGGAGACTGGTGAAAGGAAGTGATGACGGCACCTTCATAGTCTCCTGTACTCTATACTTTGGTCGGCCAGTTTAGCATGCTATTTTGCCGACCACATAGTTTTGATCACATGGATAAAGAAAATGTCCTAAAGGGCAGAGGAACTACAGGAAGAACCAGAAAAATCTCACCGAGAACAGAACCGGCTAACCACTGGGCCCCTCTTTACAATAGGGCTGTTAAGTGGCAGAGAAATTAGCTCGCACCTCCTTTAAACCCCAGTGTTGAGGGGTCTCTTTATTACAGCAGTTCTAGGACTTTGCATTAACTGATACAAATGCCTTAGTTGACACTTCCTTGGGGACAGCACCGTCCTCTCAAACCCACACAGAACATAATCCCCACTCCTTAAAAAATGGACAGTTAGGTATTTTCCCTCCCACACGTCTCTCTCCCCTAACCAGCCATCAGTGACTCTTCTTCTGAGCTTCACTTTCTTCTTTTTTTAAACTGGGATGTTGTTGTTAAGTGCTTTTGCATCGGTTCTGACTCATAGTGACCCTGATAGGGTTTCCGAGGAGTGGCTGCAGACTTTGAACCACCGACCTTGAGAGTCAAAAGACCTCGCCGTCCAGTGCTTATCCTACAGCGCTACACCAGGACTCCTTAAATTGTGATAAATACTGGTATATAGGTAACTTTTACCTATATTTCAAATCTTCCCATGTGCTCTTACTTCAGTGCCATTAAATACGTTCATCATGTTCTTCAACTATCACCATTACTAGTTCCTGAATTTTTTAGACATACACTAACTATAAGCCATCCCTAAGGTACAGGTTAAATAATGCACATCTCCAACTACTGGACATAGAACCCCGGTGGCACAGTGGTTAAGCATTCGACTGCTAACCAAAAGGTTGGTGGTTCAAACCCACCTGGGCACTGGAGAGAGAAAGACCTTGAAACCTGGTGCTCTATCTGTTCCTGCGAAGCCACAGTCTTAGAAGCCTTCAGGTGCTTCTGCTCTCCCCTGTAAGGGCTGCTATGAGTCAGACTGGACTTGATGGCCCCCAACCGGGCGGTTTCAGATTTTGTACACTTCAAGCTCAGTGTGCCCTAGTGTTGTGTGAGCTCCAGACTGTTCATTATTAATTGACATGTCCCGTTGGATGGCTGATGGCGTCTTCCATGGGCGATGGATGGACCAAAAAGAACTTTCCATTTCTCCCTGACCACCGTCCCTCCTCAACCTCCTCCTCCAAATAAATGGGCCCACCACCTGTTCAGATGCTCTGATGAGAAGCCTCGGAGGCACCCTTAATTCATTTGTTCTCCCCACCACCATATTCAGTCCTCTGGCACGTCCACATCTGTCTCTGGACATGACGCGCTCCTGACACCATCTTCCCTCCATCTCTATTGCTACCTGCTAGTCCAGATGTGAGGGACTGAATTGTGTTGCTAACAACAAATAAGTGTTGCTAACACTATCGCCCTATACCTGTGGCTGAAGAGCCCTGGTGGCACAGCGGTGAAGCACTTGGCTGCTAGCGGAAAGGTCAACGGTTCACACCCACCAGTCACTCCGTGCGAGAAAGCTGTGGCAGTCTGCATCCATAAAGATGGCAGCCTCGGAAACCTCATCCGGCAATTCTACTCTCTGCTCCAGGGTTCATTAGGAGTTGGAATCAACTCCTAACCAAAGGGTTGGGGAGGGTTGACACTTCCTTGGGGACAGCACCGTCCTCTCAATATAGCTGTGATTGCAATCCCATTTGAGAAGGGGTTTTCACTGTTGTGTTAATGAGGCAGTCTTAGCGGAGGGTGGTTCTCCAGTCAATCTCCTATAAGCTATAAAAGGAGCAGGTGAAGCAAATACTGGTGGGGGGAAGCAGTGGGGGGGATAGGTGGCAAGTCACTGGAGGATCACCAAAGAGCCAAGGATTCCTAGCTGGGGAGACCAGATGAGGAGGACCTTCCACCAGAGCTCACACAGAGAGAAAGTGGACGCCCTGAATTTGGACTTCCAGTCTCCTAAACTGTGAGAAAATAAATTTCTTGTTTGTGAACGTCACCCACTTGTGGTGTTTCTGTGATTGCAGCGCTCGGGACTGGAGGCAGCAAGCCATCGTCATCAGTCACCAGAAACTTGTATGGGCCTCTCCCCACTACTTCCAAATCATGGCCAGCAGGGTGCTGTTAGGTAGATGGGAGATCAAAGACATCCCTAACCTCCCTCCCACCCTCTCCAGTAGCTCCCTCATTGCATCTGGATTGAAATCCATGTTTGAGGTCCCCCAGGAACTAGCCTCTGCCCGTCCATTCCAAACCAAACGGAACAGTGTATTACACAGTAGGGCTGCTCCATGGGGGTGTCTTGGCTGTAACTGTTGAATGAATGAAGAAAGCTTGAGCTCCCAGTGGTTTCCAAGGTTTAAAAAAAAAAAAAAATCTTTGTAGAAGCAGAACCTCATCTTTCTCCCACGGAGACGCTAGGGGGCTCAAACAGCAAACCCTGTGGTTCGCAGCCCAGTACTTATCATATGGAGCCACCGCATGGTGGCACACAACAGGGTAGTTGGCGCTCTTTGGACAGAGTTCGGGTGCATCATAAGAAAGGGAGAAGACAACTGCTCTGAAAGGGATCACTTTAGGAGGTCCCAAATGGAGTGGATGAAAATGTGAAACAAAACTTAAAATAAAAATAGACCAGGCTTACTCGTCAGATAGACAGGAGAAACCCAAATCTATGGCCCTCAGTCCGGCACTGACTTCGCCCTTATGGCTCAATTCTTAGTCAAACAGTAGATAAGTCTATAGGGGGGCAGCAATACTAGTGAGGTACACACACCAGATTCAGTTCACAATAAAAACTTTGAAAGACAAAAGGTAGAAGACTCATTTAGCTGATCAGATCCTTAAGCTTGCTTAGCTTCAGAACATCTGCAAACCAGAACAAGGCTCCTGTTTTAAAGGCAGTCCCGCTGCTCTGGCACCAAAACAGGCATAACAGAACTTTCAGGGCTGAGCAGGGCCGCCCCGAACGGTTGGGCAGGTTGTACACTGCACAAGTGTGCTGCATCCACATTGTAGACCCTTTGTGGTTGGTAAGTGCCGTCGAGTCGGTTCCAACTTACAGCAACCCTGTATAGATTTTCTGAGGAGCGGTTGGTGAGTTGGAACTGTCAACCTTGTGGTTCAAACCGACTTTATGGTAGAGCGCTTATCCTACAACGCCACGCCAGGGCTCCAAGCCTCAGTTCTCCTGCAGAGCGGCTGGTGGGCTTGAACGGCAGACCTTGTGGTTCACAGTCCCATGCTTATCATATGGAGCCACGGCACCTTCTGTAGACCCTTTAGACCTATATATGTCTCGTGGTCATCACCTTTCAGAGGGAGCCATGGTGATGTAGTGAATTAAGTATTGGGCTGACAACCACAAGCTTGGTGGTTCACACCCACCAGCTGCTCTGCAGGAGAAAGATGAAACTGTCTGCTCCCATAACCACTTAGTCTCAAGCACTGGCTACCTAAATTGGGGGGGCTATAAAGGCACAAAGTAACTGGCTTACAAGTTTTCAAGAGGGAGTTTAGTTTCAGGATGTGCAGGGAAGGCAGAATTCCCATTGAATAGTTTTCATCTTGTCGACGGGTCTGGTGAAAGGAGATGGGAATAAGATTCTTACGATTCAACAGTGAGTAACTATTATTATGACTAATTGCGACTGTCACAACTGTCAAAGTGGATGTTTTGTAATAAAAGGGGGGGAGTAGTTAATCTTACAGTCCAGGACCCTAGGACCACCAAGGGAGAAGAGCACGAGCAGAATGTGGGGCTCTAACCAGAGAAGGAGGCAGAGATGAGGATATGGAGAAGAGGGAGCATCTGAGGACTCTGGACTCATGGAAAGAGAAAGGCTGTGTGCTGGCGGCCAGACAACAGGCTTGCAAAATGTGCCCTTGGGTTGTTTAAATGATTATATATTCCTGAGTGATTTTGTGTACATCCAAAAAAAACAAAAAACAGAGGGATTAGAAGCAAATACTGTTGAACCATGATGCACAGTGACTGTAATCATTGCAATGAAATGATGAGTGTAAAACCGATGTTCTCCCATGTAAATGCTCACTCAATACACAATAAAAACTTTAAAAAGTTTTAAAAACTAGTGTCTTGGAAACCCTATGGGGCAGTTAGTTCTACTTTGTCCTGTAAGGGCCGCTATGAGTTGGAATCAACTCGACAGTGGTGGGTTTTGTTTTTGGTTTTTTTGGTCACCTTTCAAGAAATGAAAGCTCTCTGGTGATGTGGCCCAATCGTAATTCCTGTGCTGACGGAACTGTTCCACATCTGAGCTGAAGGCCACCTGTGGGTACTGAGCAGGTGAAGTGGAGTGAGTGTGTCTAGGGAACAGCATTTTAAAATTCATTTGATTTGAATTGTT